ATGCCCCCCAGGACCCTCTGGCTCTCCTCAGTGGCCTCTGCCCGCCCTGTACCACGGCCAGCCCTGCTGAGACGTCGGGCCTTACCAGCATCTCAGGTCCTGCCTGTGTCCGCGGGCTCCTCCCGCTGCGCCCCGCTAGACCCCGGGGTGTCTCGAGACAGGTGCTCACTCCGTCAAGGTGCAGTGCAGTCTGTCACCCTATTCCAGACGCAACCTCCCTTCCCCGAAAGGCCTCGTCGCTCCCCATGTCTTTCTGTCTCAGGTATCTCAGACTTAGGGTAACCATGTTTTCCAAGCCACATATACAGCCCCCGCCCAGGAAATTCTTTTTTGTGTGTATGTGAATCTTTTATGACCATCTGAGTCACGTGGCCATACATTTAACATGCTACCTCAACTAAGAACATGTCAGGGCTGCTCCGGAACATGCCGGGGCATGGAACGAACTCAGCTCCCTATGGCCGGGGCTCAGCTTAGGTTAGAAGTCCGTCAGGGTGAGACATGCCTCTCTGTTCCTGTGCCCTCCCTTACTCCTCTCCGGTTCCTCCATGCCCGCCACGGGGGTTTGAGTTCACCCCCCAATACAGGTAAGTATTCACTTCTCCCCGCTCAAGGCAAGTAGGCCGCCCTCACTGTCTCCTCCAGCCTGCCCACGCACAGGCCTGGTATTTCCACAGGCACCCAAGAATCAAAGCAGGGGCAACTGGAGCCAGAGAATAGGTGAGGTCCAGGCCCCCCAGCAGCCTCCCTGCCTCCGACGCCTAACATCACTCAGCAACTTCTTCCTAAATCGCGCTGTGAACGGGGCACCAGCCCCCCCACAAATCCCACCTAACGCGCCCATAAGCCCCTCCCTAAGGGCTCAACTCCGGGGCTCGCCCTGCGGGTCTCTGCGGGGTTTTAATTTGGACACAGCACGAGTGCGTTCCTTCTATCAGTGTATTAAAGCGGGGCACCTAAGACTTGCAGAGTCTGCTCCACGGCACCCCGATAACCCTCTCCCCGTCTCCCCACCTACCAGGTCTGCCAGTGAGGAGGTCTTGCCACGGGATGGGTCTGGAGAGGAGCCCCCGCACGCAGGTCCTCCGCCGGCCCAGCCCCCGCCGGCCCAGCCCTGGACAGTGGGTAGGGACATGCTCAACGCCAGGGTCATTCGAACCCTGCAGGAACGTCGCAGCACCAGGCCTTGGTGACCTCAGCCCCTCACACCTGCAGGCAGTATTCCGTCTCCAGCGCAGAGGGCCAAAGCACAACCCTCACGGTGGATTCATTCACTCATTCATTCAACAGGCTTTCTTACCAGCTCCAAACCATTTGTATCCTATTTTTAACCACAGCAATAAACGTATTTATTTTTTACCACAAGGGCTACTGAAAAACTTGACTGTCATTTCAATCCCACCCGACCGTCGTTCTGGTGCCCGGCTTAGCGCACCTCCGCTCAGCGTTCCGTGAAAATGCTACAGGTGCGAGCAGAGCGCCTGGGACGGCAGCTTCCTGCGCACGCGCTCTGAGGCGCCCCCGGACCCGGCCCGCGCAGGCGCACTGAGCAGGCCGGACGCAGCGGCCTCTGCCGCCGCAGTGCGCAGGCGCGCACCATCTCCGTTGCCCTCCTGTCAGCCCCGTCCCCCTCCCTCCTTTCCCCTTCACGAAGCCGGCTCCGGGGCGCGCTCACCCTGAGAGGAGGCCAGAGGCCGCACTCGGGAGGCGCTCTCTCCACTCCCGGAAGATCATGTACCAGCCCAGCCGGGGAGCGGCCTGTCGTCTCGGCCCCTGCCTCCGCGCCTACCAGGCTCGACCCCAGGTGAGGGCAGAGGAGAAACGGGAGGGAGGCGAGGGGGCGGGGAGAGACCCTCCGCGGAGCCGGTGCGCGGGGCGGGGCGCGGG